AAGTTATGCAACAGGGAGGAATTATATTCTAGAAGGAACTATGGGTCCAGTTGCTAAAATTCTGACTTTTTTTTTTAATCTACATCATCCAAGAACTATTTCAGATGTGGTCAAAGAAGACTGTCCTATTCCAAATGTCATTGCTAGGGCTCATGAAAAAAATGGAAAAAAAAAAATTCCTCTTAAAGATTAGAAAAAGAGCAGAGAATATCCCCCATTGCCAGTGCAGGGACCCAGGGCTCACCCCTCAAGATCCTGGCACCTCTACCAAGCTGCTGAAGACCTTCCCAAAGCTTTCTGTCTAAGTTACTTATTGTTATCCTATCCTATCGTAATACAGTATGTTAGTGAGAATTGATGAGGGGCACTTTAGATAACAGGGTGATCAGACCAAGAAGAATCACATTCTGACTTAGTAGTAGAAAGTACTGCACACTCTCCTAGAGACTCTGGACCATGGCTAACTCCAGATACTAGGTGGTGGTATTTTAGGTTTTCTCCCTTGTGGAGGGGTGGATGCACTCTATAGATGGAGTAAGAATGAGGTGTATATGTGGCTGCCCCAGAGTACATGTGCAGAGACTGCTGGCACCTGATGAAGCCCATTTCCTCCTCTGACTCTTGGACTGCTGTGTGCATGGATGCTACGTCGCTTCATTTGTGTCTGACTCTTTGCAAACCCTATGGACTGCACCCTGCCAGGCTCCTATGTCCATGGGATTCTGCTATTTTCTCTTCCACTTTATAGTTAAACTTAGAGGCTGTGTAAAAGCTGATGGCGCCCGAAGATGGATCGTATATTGTCCTTGACTGCAAGAAGGTGAGATTCTTTGCAATCTGCCTTGTAACATTAGTGAAGCAACTGTGAAGTTACAATTGTATATTATAGATATTAATCTATCCTGATGAATGCATTCCTTTTTAGCAGCTTCAAGAGCTCTAATCGTAAATTTTATATTTATTATAAAAGGTTTTTTATAAAAGGAGTATTATTGTATTTTTATTTTCTGTTGCAGGTTTTACTGATATGTTTGGTTAATCAATATTCAGAGATTTTCCTAAAAGAAAAGACACTGAAGAATGAGGTTAATAATTTTCAGATAATTATACATTAAATATCTAATTTGCCATTAATTACAAGAATAAGAATTGGCCAAATTAATATATGCCTTTAATTACATTAGGTAATTAAATTTCACAGTTTAAAGTGATAATTAGTACATTATTCATGCAATATCCTTTTCGAAACCTGATCATTTTAGGTCGGGGGAAGCAGTATGGTATAGCTAAAAATGAAAATTAAGAGTGGCCTTCATCCTTGTCTTTGTCACTTACAAAGTTTATACTTTTTACAAGTAATTCTTATTTAAGTATCTGGTCTTCACATATTAAAAAAATGAAATTAGAAATACTTATCTTTCAGCTTGTTGTATGGATCAGATAATTTAAGCAATGGAAATGAAAAATTCAGTCTGATAACCACTCAGTGGGAATTATCTATATTCTTTTTATTACTAATTTTCCAGTAATAGTTAATTATGAATCAAATTAATTTTTATAATAATCACCCCCTCAAAATCAAGGAATTAATGTTGACAAATGTAAAGTTACAGATAATAATATGTTCATTTTAAATACAAGCTTTTGAGATAGGAGAAAATTATTCACTCAAAATCAATTCTACCACAGAATCAAATGCTATATTTGAATTAACCCTAACACCCACAGATTTAGCATATTTGTATTCATTAAAATTTTTATTTATTCTACAATATTACTGAACACCTCTCTGTGTACCAGGGGTTTTAGTCAGGCTTTAAATGTACATACGAGAGTCATCTGCCTAGAAGTGATGACCATTAAGAAAGAAAAAGGATGAGCTCACCGAAGCAAGAAATCTATAAAGAAGAAAACAAAATAAAAACAGGCCATTTAGAGGCTAGTAATGAAAACAAGATTAAAGTTGGCAAAAACAGTGAGTAAAGTACAAAATAATATATTCTTAACCAAAGCCAGATAAGCTTTAAGAGACTAGAATAAACAACACTATCAAAAATGGCAGAGGTTTTATGGAGCATAAAAACTAAGAAAGAAACTGAGAAGACCAATTGCATGAATGTTTCACAAATAAAATGACCTCTTTGAATAACAAAATTACTTTTAAAGTGTGATACGTCTTATCCTTTTTATACCTTCTACTTTATCCTGAGATTTCCCCTAACTCTTTCAGGTTACATTAAAAAGTTCCATCTCAGAGTCTGTATTACCCTAAAGTAAGCATACACTTCTGCACAGCATATTACAAACGTGGGCTTCGTTTGTCTCTCCTGTTTACTTACCTCTTATACATTCCTTGATTATTGACTATTATTTATTATTTTGCAGTTGCTAGAGTTATCTTCCATTTAGACATGATGCAATCTGAACATATTTCAATTGTTTCTTAAATAAGGATCCTTTAATCTTTGGTATGAACTTTCTGTAACTTTCATAATCTGTTCTTCCCTTTCAAAATACAGATTCACATGCTGTCTCAGAATCATTTTACTTCTGTCCTTTAAAAAATAAGATAAAAGAAAGCCAAAATGCACCTCTCCACTTATAATTAAGAAAAGCCACCAATTATTAAAATTATATATCAGTGAAACTTGAAACTTTTGAATTGATGTCTCTTATCAAATGTGGACAAAAGGAAAACGCTAATCTAAACTAAACTTATGAAAAGGAACATTCTCTAGCCCGTATTTTCTTTGTCCAATTCTTACTCCCAAGAGACAACTATTTTGAATTCCATTTAGTTGATTGTGTTATTTATGTAATATTTTAAATAACATGCTATTGCTATGTATGTATTTACTTTTCAGTTTTAAGTGTCGCTTTAGTCCTTCACACTGCAGAAGACGAGGACCTGGTTTTGTCACACTATTGCTCTTAGACCCGGGAGAGTGAGGACCCCGCCTTGGCCCCGCACCTCAACCAGCTTGGGTGTCTACGTGTCTTTCCCCCAGCCAGAACCTTCTGATTTGGCAGCACCTCTCAGGAGGAAGACCCAAGTCAGGACGAGGTCTCAAGTGGACACACGTCCCGCTTTCTCATCTTCAGGGTTCTTTCTAACCTCAGTCTGTGTCCAGGGTCAGGCAGATGTCCCAAAGCTTCAGGATTCATGTCTACAAGCTTTTCCAGGGCCCTCACGCAGGGCCTAGCGGCCCAATGCACCCTAGATTGTGAGCGTTCTTGTTGGAGGATGTGCTATTTCTTTCCCCGCATCATGAGGCCTTCAGCTGCTACACCACTGTGGTACACTGATTTTCAGCGATACTCACATAAAACACAGAATGCCTTCAGGACTCTGGGCTGCCAACAGTCTAGGGCCCTGGACCTGAGGTTGAAGGAACCTCAAGCGTGAGCTGTGTGTGAGGATTCATTTATCAGTTCTGGCCTATTGATGTTTAGACCCCAGTGCCGCCTCTGGTTTAGAGCTCCTGAAAGTGGTGGAGTAGCTGTACGCGTTCTTTACCCGGTGGCTCCCCAGCTCTGAAACACAGGGCGGCCATCCCACGGTCTCTTTTGCTCTGCACCACCAACAGGTCAGACAATTGGTCAGGAGTGGCCATTCCTATTAGTCTTCAGGAATGTCACTGGCAGCGTCAAAGGCTCTTCTGATCAACTGCGTCTCCTGCCTCCAGGCTATTGAGTTTTCATAAGTAGATTGTAAAACTTCCTAAACACAAAAAGCACAACTATTGCATGGAAAAGCCCACCCCTGCCTAAGTCCCCTGGCTTTTTGCCTGTCCACTGTACTGATGGTGAGGCAGAAGGCAATGCTCTCATCAATATTCAAAGATATCTCATTCTAGGAAGACCTTCACTATCTGAGAAGAGTCAACGTTTTATTCCACTTTCAAGCTAATAAGTTAGTCTGTTACTATTTCAAGTATGGTGGAAGATAAAAAAAACAAAAGAGAGAGATCTAGGTCAGATACAAAAGCCTTTCTTACTCATAGCAGAGCAAGCAGCACGAATACACATCCTCCTGTCAGCTCCCAAACTACCCTCCAGCTTCCACAGGGTGTGCAGAGAAGAAGAGATGACACACGGACGCAGACCTTCTATGGTGGGCAGTAAACACCCATGCCTTTTGTGTGAAGAAAGACAATATTTCTTTCTTACAAAATAGCATAGTAGTGGATTCTAGTTCTATGCTATAAAATTTCAAACTGTAAACTTAATATAAGCAGAAAAGAGAGTATCATTTAGGTTTTCCTTCTGGATGAAACTTGCATTTGTTATCAACATTAAAGAAACTCAGTAATCTTTGGGAGAATTATTGGAAGGTAGTGCTCACTGGTAGAACCATGGATGACACAGTATCTTGAGTAAAAATGTAACCAGTATTCATTAGTATTAAGAAAATGTAGATGCAAAAAGGTTTACATTCTTTTAGTACAAACAGACCCCAGGGAGCCATAATATTGCAAGATACAATGGTGTTGCACATTTTCTTGTGCTGCAACGGGCAACATTAGCTAGGAGGGACACAACTGAATTTAGTCAAAAGAGGGGCTTTTAGACAGTAAGGAAAACAATGAGATGGTTCCTGGACCCCAACAGAGTGAAGATACTGCCTTGAGACTGTGGGGGCTCTTCGTTTGCACTGCCTGTACAATGAACAATGCATAAGCACCTTCCTCTGCTCTTTATGTATAAATGTTCATAGGCTGTGTCACACCCGGGCCCATGACTTGTGTAAGGCGGTGTTGCTATATTCAGTCAACATTAATGTAAGTGCATCCACACATATATTGTACTTTGTTCCCATGTCTTGAACCCCCCATTAAAATGTTTTTTTTCTTCTGTCTGAAGACTTATTTTGGGGAGAGCCTTCTCACTGATTTCTGAATCTGTGGTTTGATGTTGTTCCTTGTTTGGTTTTTTTTTAATTTATTTATTTTTAACTCTCTCAAGTCTTTAAACTTGACTCCTGGCCTGTTTTCTTCTAGCACCGTATTATGTGTCCTTAAGAGCCTCCTGGACTTTGGGCAGCGGTGGAGCCGTGCCCGCCCTCCCCGGCTGCAGGGCGTGGCCTGGGGCGGCCTCCCGCTGAGCTCCCGCGGCGGGCAGGCCCGAGGAGGTGTGGGGAGCAGGCTGCCCCGGAGAAACCACCCGGCACAGAGACGGATTACAGGCGGTGCCCCCGTTTACACCATCAGCCTTCGGGCGCTTGTCTCGGCCGTGGGGGCCCTGACCCTGGCCTTGGGCTGCGACCCCCAGGGCCTCCTGACCGTCGACCCTGGTGCCTGGGGGTCCAGCCTCGCCCTGCTACACCCGACGCACCGTTTCCTCGGAGGCAGGTGGGCATCCTCTATGTGGCTGAGCGGGCCCCGGGCTGGGGTGACCTTCTGGGCCGGCAGCAGAATGCAGACTGCCCGGGGCCAAGGTGATGATCGCCGGAGCCAGGACCAGCCTGGCATGCTGTGCATGCACATCCGGAGACTCTGGATGCAGCGCATCCAGCATCTGCTTCCAGGGGACACAGACCTGCCTCAGCCTGGGCTCCGGGCGTGTCCTGGCCCGGGGCCTCCCCTGTGGGGGTTTAATATAAAATCTGTTTCAGAGAAGAAGGTAAATGTCCAGCACCTTAGTCCCTTTAAATACATATCAACCCATGATTGTTCCTAATTGCTTTTACAAGAAGAGTCGGACACATTATCAAATTCAACACCAAAGCACAAGTCTCTCATTGACATTAATATAGTAACAAAGTCAAGTAGCTATTTTGTTAACAAACATTCATATTTATTTCCAACCATTTCTGGTGTTTCCAAATTTGTAGGAGGGAAAAAACACCAAGGAAACAATTATCTCTTAGAAATACATATGTTCAACAGCTTTGCTCTTTTTGCTATTGATTCGAAAGTCTTGTTATCAGAGTTTTAGGCAATTATTAAAAGTATTGCCAACAGTCTCCTGGTCACAATGCATCCTGTGCATTAAACCAAAATGGTTATTGCATTGTATCAAGCTGTAAGTTGAAAACAGAAAATATGCCTTCAAAATAATCAGCATCAAAAAAATTGGGTGATTCCAACAGGGTATAAAATAGTGAGTTACATTGCTTTATGAATAAAAGATAATTTACCAAGAAATACCAACACTTTAAGTAGTTTTAAATGTGTGCATATTAATAATCTCAGATATGCAAATGACACCTCCCTTATGGCAGAAAGCCAAGAGAAACTAAAGATCCTCTTGATGAAGTTGAAAGAGGAGAGTGAAAAAGTTGACTTAAAACTCAATATTCAAAAAATGAAGATCATGGCATCCGGTCCCATCATTCCATGGAAAATAAACAGGAAAAAACATTCGAAACAGTGTCAAACTTTATTTGCTTGGGCTTCAAAATGACTGCAGATGGTGACTGCAGCCACAAAATTAAGAGATGTTTGCTCCTTGGAAGAAAAGTTATGACCAGCCTAGATAGCATATCAAAAACAGAGACATTACGTTGCTGACAAATGTCCATCTAGTCAAAGCTATAGTGTTTCCAGTAGTCAGGTATGGACGTTAGAGTTGAACCATAAAGAACCCTGAACCCTGAAGAACTGATGCTTTTGAACTGTGGTGCTGGAGAAGACTCTTGAGAGTCCCTTGGACTGTGAGGAGATCCAACCAGTCCATCCTAAAGGAGACCAGTCCTGGGTGTTCATTGGAAGGACTGATGCTGAAGCTGAAACTCCATACTTTGGCCACCTGATGCGAAGAGCTGACTCATTTGAAAAGACCCTACGCTGGGAAAGATTGAAGACAGGAGAAGGGGATGACAGAGGACGAGATTGTTGGATGGCCTCACTGACTGTATGGAATTTATTTTTATTTATTTATTTTTTTGCTCATTTTTGTTATTTATTTATTTATTTATTTTTATTAGTGGGAGGCTAATTACTTCACAATATTGTAGTGGTTTTTGTCATACATTGACATGAATCAGCCATGGATATACATGTATTCCCCATCCCGATCCCCCCTCCCACCTCCCTCTCCACCCGATCCCTCTGGGTCTTCCCAGTGCACCAGCCCCGAGCACTTGTCTCATGCACCCAACCTGGGCTGGTGATCTGTTTCACCATAGATAATATACATGTTTCGATGCTGTTCTCTTGAAACATCCCACCTGGAGCCCATTAAAGAGTGAAGTAAGCCAGAAAGATAAAGACCATTACAGTATAGTAACACATATATATGGAATTTAGAAAGATGGTAACGGTAACCCTATATGCAAAACAGAAAAAGAGACACAGATGTACAGAACAGACTTTTGGACTCTGTGGACTCTATGGAATTTAAAATTTAAATTAAGTATTTACTGAAGAACAAATTCAACTTGTGGAAAAGAAAATCTAAAGGAAGTGATAGAAAATTATACTCTAATTAAATAAATCAAAGATGACATAAACAGATGGAAAGATATTCCATGTTCCTGGAATATCTTTATCTTATTTACAGGGCAACAGTGGAGAAAGAGACATAGAATAGACTTATGGACATGGGGCGAGGGGAGGAGAGGGTGAGAAGAATCAATACTGTGAAAATGACTATACTACCAAATTCAATCTACAGATTTAATGCAATCCCTATCAAATTTCCAATGGCATTCTTCACAGAACTAGAACAAAAATTTTTACAGTTCATATGGAAACACAAAAGACCCTGAATAGCTAATGCAGTCTTGAGAAAGAAGAATGCAGTTGGAGGAATCAAGCTTTCTGACTTCAGGTTATACTACAAAGGTATAGTTATCAAGACAGTACAGTACTGGCACAAAAATAGAAATATAGACCAAAGGAACAAGATAGAAAGCCCAGAAATAAACCCATGCACCTATGAGTACCTTATCTTTGACAAAGGAGGCAAGAATATACAATAGGGCAAAGACAATATCTTCAATAAGTGGTGCTGGGAAAACTGGACAGCTACATGTAAAAGAATGAAATTAGAGCTCTTCCTATCACCATACACAAAGATAAACTCAAAATGGATTAAAGACCGAAATGTAAGACCAGAAACTATAAAACTATTAGAGGAAAACATAGGCAGAGCACTCAATGACACAAATCAAAGCAAGATCCTCCATGACCCACCTCCTAGAGCAATAGAAATAAAAACAAAAGCAGACAAGTGCGACCAGATTAAATGTAAAAGCTTTTGCACAGCAAAAGAAACTGTAAGCAAGATAAAAAGACAAATCTCAGAATGGGAGAAAACAATAGCAAATGAAACAACTGAGAAAGGATTAATTTCCAAAATAAACAAGCAGCTCATACAACTCAATGCAGAAAAACAAACAACCCAATCAAAAAGTGGGGAAAAGACCTAAACAGATGTTTCTCCAAAAAAGATATACAGATGACTGACAAACACATGAAGAGATGCTCAACATTGCTCATTATTAGAGAAATGCAAATCAAAACTACAATGAGATATCACCTCACACTGGTCAGAAAGATCCTTATCAAAAAGTCTGCAAACAATAAATGCTGCGGAGGGTGTGGAGGAAAGGGAACACTCTTGCACTACTGGTGGGAATGTAAATTGATACAGCCACTATGGAAGACGGTATGGGGATACCTTAGAAAACTAGGAATAAAACCACCATGTGACCCAGCAATCCCACTCCTAGGCATATACCCTGAGGAAACCAAAATGGAAAGAGACACATGTATCCCATTGTTCATTGCAGCACTATTTACAATAGCTGGAACATGGAGACGACCTAGATATCCATTGACTGATGAATGGATAAAGAAGTTGTGGTATATATACACAATGGAATATTACTCAGTCAAAGAAAGGAATGCATTTGAGTGAGTTCTAATGAGGTGTATGAAACTGGAACCTATTACACAGAGTGAATGAGTCAGAAAGAGAAAGATAAATATCATATTCTAACACACATATATATACAGAATCTTGGAATATGGTACTGAAGAATTTATTTACAGGGCAACAGTGGAGAAAGAGACATAGAATAGACTTATGGACATGGGGCGAGGGGAGGAGAGGGTGAGATGTATGGAAAGAGTAACAAGGAAACTTACATCACCGTATGTAAAGTAGATTGCCAACGGGAATTTGCTGTACATCTCAGGAAACTCAAACAGGGGTTCTGTATCAACTTAGAGCAGTGGGATGGGCCGGGAGATGGGAGGAGGTTCAAAAGGGAGGGGACACATGTAGACCTATGGCTGATTCATGTTGAGGTTTGACAGAAAACAGCAAAATTCTGTAAAGCAATTATCCTTCAATAAAAAATAAATAAATTTTAAAAAAAGGAAGTGAAAGGAGAGAAATATAAGCACAGATGAAAGCAATTCAGGTCATTGTGCAGCATCAATAAATATATATTTAAATACTCAATTAACTAGTAATTGACAAAGGTACTGACTCAGATTAGCTTCAAGTCAAGTTTAGGAATACTAACAACCTCAATTAAGCTTTTTAAGATAATTAAAGGATTAACCAAGAACTAATAACACTCTTCCAGTTTATTTCCTCAACAAGAGGGGTGGGTCACAGTTGTTTACAAGCTGTCTGTGAGAGGCTCCTTGTGCCGTATCTATTTACAAGCACAGAAAGAATAAAAGATCTGACAGTTAAAAAACATAGTTTTAAAATGTAAGAAATTAAAGAAATACAAAATACTAATTGAATCTTGGATAAGGAAAAATGTTGTTTAGTTGCTAATTCACGTTTGACTCTCTTGCAACCCTGTGGACTGTAGCCCGCCAGGCTCCTCTGTCCCTGGGATTCTCCAGCCAAGAGTACAGAGTGGGTTGCCATTTCCTTCTCCAGGGGATCTTCTCCACCCAGGGACTGAACCCTAGCCTCCTGCATTGCCAAGTGCGTTCTTTACCACTGAGCCACCAGGGAAAGCAGGAAAAAGATACTAAACTGTATAAAATTAAAAGTGGAGTTCTTGTGATGTGTCACTTTGCTCATTCTTAAATAAGCTGGAATTTTTAGAAGGAAAAAAAAAAAAAAAGGTTATCCAAAGGAATGACCACCATAAATAACCATGGATTACAGATTCAAAAGTAGGGTGTATATGGCCATTATTATCCAAGGAAAAGAGCTTACAAAAATGAGATACAAAAACTCTCTTTTTATTACTAATAAAGATGTTCTTTGGGGTTTATTTTATTATATTATTCAAATTATCCTCCTAGTTCTTATTTTGGTCTTGGAGTCTCAACTAGTTTGGTACTGGTGTCTAGACTACAGGCATTAAAAAAAAAAAAATTATTGGAGCACAGTTGATTTATTAAGTGTTAGTTTGAGGTGTATAGAAAAGCGAATCAGTTATACATAAACATATACACACTCTTTGAAGACTCTTTTCCTGTGTAGGCCATTACAGAGAACTGAATAAAGTTTCCTATGCTGTACGGCAGGTTCTTATTAATTATCTATCATACATATTATAGTGTGTATATGTCAATCCCAACCGCCCAATTTACCCTCCCCAGACTTCCCTGATAGCTCAGTCAGTAAACAATCTGCCTGCAATGCAGGGGACCCAAGTTCAATCCCTGGGTTGGGAAGATCCCCTGGAGAAGGAAATGGCAACCCACTCCAGTATTGTTGCCTGGAAAATCCCATGGACAGAAGAGCCTGGCGGGCTACAGCCCATGGGATTGAAAGAGTAGGACATCACTTAGAGACTAAACCACAAACCTATTTACCCTCTGGTAACCCTAAGCTTGCTTTCTGCATCTGTGATTTTGCTTCTGTTCTATAAATAAGTTCACTTATATCCATTTTTTTAGATTCCACTTGTAAGCAACATCATGAGTTATTTGTCTTTTTACATCTTACTTCACTCAATATGACAATCTCTAGGTCCAATCTTGCTGCTGCAAATGGCACTATTTTGTTCTTCTTTATGGCTGAGTAATATTCCATTAGGGACTTCCCTGGTGGTTCAAGGGTAAAGAATTCATCTGTCAATGCAGGAGGTGTAGGTTCAATCCCTGGGTGGGGAAGATCCCTTTGAGAAGGAAATGTCAGCCCACTCCAGTATTCTTGCCTGGGAAATCCCATGGACAGAGGAGTCTAGTGGGCTTCAGTCCATGGGGTATCTAAAGAGTTGGACAAAATTTAGTGTATAAACAGCAATAATATTTCACTGTACATGTATACCAAATTTTCTTTATCTGTTTTCCTGTTGATAAAACTTTAGGTTGCTTCTATGTCCTGAATGTTGTAAATAGTGCCACAATGAATATTGGATGAACATTGTAATGAGTATCAATTATGGTTTTCTCCAGGTGTATGCCAAGGAGTAGGATTGCAAGGTCGTATGATAGTCCTATTTTTGTTTTTTAAAAGAAACTCTCTTCTGTCCTCCATAGCGGCTGTACCAATTTACATCCCCACCAACAGTGTAGGAGAGTTCCCTTTTCTCCACACCCTCTCCAGTATTTACTTTTTATAGATTTTTTTGATGATGGTCATTCTGATTGGGGTCAGGTGATAACTCGTTGTAGTTGATCTGCATTTCTCTGACTTTGAGCATCTTTTCATGTGCTTTTTGGTCATCTTTGGATTATTTGTTCTTTGGATTATTTGTTTCTTTGATATTGAGTTTCATGAGCTGTTCATATATATTGGAGATTAATCCCTTGTTGGTTGTTTCATTTGCAAATATCTTATGCCATTCTGATACTTGCTTTTTAAGTAATGGAATGAGGTAATTAATTAGTTGGAGAAAAAGCATCATCTTTTATTATTTGCATGTCATCTTCTATTTGCTAGTGTCCTTTTTGCTTACTTTTTAATATTTTGTCAAGTGATGATTTGCTTCTGTTCTAATTCAAGACAGAATTTTTCAAATACTTATATTGATCAATATTTGAATATTTTTTTTATTCTGGTATCGATTTGTCAGTATTGAAAATTTGATGCTTTTGTTTCAGTATGGCAAGAGAGTTGAAATCTATCACTGATCTAAATATAGGCATAAGATGGATTATTAGGGAAAATAAGATTTACAATAATTGTCCAGATGAAATGTGAAAAGTATTAAAATATCTTATATTGCTCAAACTTGTCACCTTGCAAATAACTAAAGTATACCTATTGTCAAAGACATTATCAACAGGATACGAGGTCGTATGGCACTTTAAAATTAGATATAAACAAAAGAAAGGGATGTAGACAGTGAACTAAAAGTAATATGTATAAAATATATAAAAGAAGTGAAATTTCAAGAAAGCATTAAATAGAATAATACAAAAAATAGGCATTTATGAAATCAAAAGGGAGAATAAATAATGCAATGTGTCAAATGTTGAATTATGAATACTTTAGAGAAATGCAGCACAAATTTTAACAGTAAACTGTTTAATTTGATGCAAATTAAATATTTCACTGACCCAAAGACTGAAGCTGAAAAACAAGCATATAATTTTTTCATATTGAGTAATTTATAATGAAAACTTGATGTGTTTGCTTTAATATACCTGCAAGATGTTGTGAAGAAACAGATACCCTAGGAAATAAAATATGTGATATACTCATGGAAAATAGAGTACAGTACATTATGATCTATATAGTAGAATAGATATAATCTCATGGAGATTATTAAAAAATATGGAAATTACATCATGTTTGATGAGATTGATACTGAGAGAAACTAAGTTTTCTTTTTTTTTCTCTTATAGTCTGTGTTTTAAAGCATGTAAGTTAAACATTTAGGTGTAAATGGACATTACATGATACATGATAGATAAGTTGATAGAGAGATAATATATAGAACATTCCAATTTAATTTTATTTTTGAAAAAATATAGTTTTAATAAAATGTTCAGTCAGTAATGATGAAGTACTCATCAACACTTCAGGTTAATTCATTTTATCATTGACTTGCTAAAAATACTACATAGGTCAATAACAGTTATTATTTTCACAGGGATTTGGCTATAAGATAATTGTATCAACTGAATTATTTACCTACAATTTTCAAAATTTAAGAGTAGAAAGGAAAAATAGAGATCTATTCTAATTACTTATTAGATTAATTATTAACTATTTTTAAACATATATCAACTTTTCTAACTTGAAGTCAAATAAGTTATGATAAAAGTTCACAGATTTCTAGAACAAAATATAAAGATTATTTAATCATGTGTAAGTCTGTTATAAAAGATGACGGACACTGAAATTTTGAGTTTTAAATGAAACACCAGTTGTCATAAACTAAATTTGTTGAGAATAGGTGCCTTAATGTCTTAAGCATTGATAAACATGGAAGAAATAGATATGCCACAGTCTCAGCCTTCAGCATTTACATACATTGGGGACAACTATAAGTTTATACCTGAAATCAGAGTGCAATGTTTTAAGTCCTCTGCAGTGTGAAAAAATCCATGGAAAAAATAGATTCATTAATTCAACAGGCGCTTATCCACTGCGTATCACAAGCCTGGTCAAGCCTGGTAATAGAGAGACACGGCAGTCTTTCAGGCGGACAGGGCTTTTCATGAAAATGATGTTCCTCAAAACAGGTGACTAGAGTTTTATCAGAAGAAAGGACAGGAGAGAAAGAATGTGTGGGCTGGTGAGAAAGCTTTAGGGGTATGACGTCTGTGGAAATACTTAGAAAAACAGGTAGTCTGATGTAATTTTCTTGGGGTGGGGGGGCTGGTGCAGGAAACAAAGGCTTGGAATTGACACTTAAATATTAAAACTTCTCAATCCAGCCGGTATATTCGCGAAAACCATTGAAAAGGTTTATGGCAAAATAAATATAAAATGTTGTTATAGTAATCTCAGGTATTCTGAAGATTTTCACAATAACTTTTATGAAAGAAAGTGAAAGTGAAGTGGCTCAGTTGGGTAGGGCTCTTTGCGACTCCATGGACTGCAGCCGCCAGGCTCCTTTGTCCATGGGATTCTCCAGGCAAGAATCCTGGAGTGTGTTCCCTTTCCCTTCTCCAGGGGATCTTCCCAGACCAGGGATCAAATCCAGGTCTGCCGCATTGCAGGCGGATTCTTTTCTGTCTGAGACACCAGGAAAGCCCCATAGTAATCTCCTGTGTTCTGAGGATTTTTTACAATAACTTTTATAAAGTAGTTCAAATTTTATTTCCTAAAGTTATTTCCTTACAAAAATTTCCAAGGAAAAATATACTGTGACTTGACTTCTCCTGTTCTACAACTACTTTTATTCATATAACTTTCCTGTTTCTGCATTGTGTGTGTGTGTGTGTGTGTGAGTGATTCTGTGTGTGTGTGTGTGTGTGTGTGTGAGTGATTCTGTGTGTGTGTGTGTGTGTGTGTGTGTGTGTGTGTGTGTGAGCCAGTCATGGGTCTGACTGGATATCTTGCTATTCATGGAGCTGGATTTATCTCTTTTTATGTTAGGCATCCAAGCTCTTCAATCTTAGGTAAAATAATGCACAGCCCTTACATAGCACTGGACTCTGGCCAGTTCTCTTTTTAGAAGTCCGCTTAAGATTCAGAATCTTCTCTTAGTTGCGTCCTTATTTTATTCTGACTCCCATGATCTATCAATACTTTAGGTAATAGAGTTCTTGGAAATTGAAGGGCACGGTGATATTAAACAGTGTATTTAAATATTAAGTACATAAATGTAAAACTTGACCCAGGTTTGATATTAGATTTCTATTCTAATATAGGTGGTAAAGACCATATAGAAGCCAAACTTAAACTAGTGTAAAGCTATAATAATAAAACATTGATCCTGAAGTGTAAGACACTGTGAGTGTGTTTTCAATAAACCTGTTGTTTTCTATGCAATTCACCTCAGAACAAAGGGTTGCTTCTATTGAACTTTTTTGAAGTATTGCTGTCAACCAACATTTTAATATCAAAACTTTCTTTGTGTACCAAATCCTGCAGTGATTAAAATAACAAAGCATATATACCATCCATACCTTTATTGGTTTGATGATGGTGATGCCTCTCTAGCATTCCACAGGCATTCTTCCATTCAGTATAGCATGAACATGACACCTATAGAACTGAAACTCAAAAATCTCAAAGAGCTAATTATTAAGGCACTAAGCAATATATTTAAATTGAAATGTAAAGCTATGTTCTCAAATACCAGTATTTAACAAATGATTGTATAAATAATATTAAAATATTACTATTCTGGAAAAGGGTAATGTAGAAAATATTTTCTTTCATTTTTTAAAAATCAACACTTTCAAAATAATAAACCATTTTTTTAACAATGCTTTGAGCTTGTGCTGGATGACAACAACAAATAGAAACTCCTAATAACTTTTGTTTCTATATTCTTATTATTGTTCTGGCTATCTATGAATAAAATAATTTATATAGTATAAAACATTAACAACTATAACCTGAAATGTAAAAATATATATTCTTGTATATATGAATTCTTGACCTCTGATACTTTTTTAAATTTTTCATGTCTATATATTGTTCATCTTACTAAATATATATTTTAATGGATTACAAGAAAAATAAGAAATGGGAAAATATGTATATCTTAACTCATAATAGATCTTAGTATATGAATTGAGGCAATATAATTTAAAAAAAATTAGAATCCAATGTTATGTGACCTTAGCTGAATATGTAAGAGCAATTAGGAAAATGTCAGCTTCTTTAAGGTTCAAATGTCTACAACTTAATTAGTTGTTTTTTTATTTGGATAACATGCCATATGCTTGCTTCAACATTATGAAAATGAACTTGTCACAAATAACAATTTTAATGAAGAGTATCAGATATGTGATTTGTCTAATATCTCAGGATCAGAGAATAATTTTTAACATCTTCCTGTTCACATAGTCAGTAACAGACTCACAGCAGGAATATTTCCATTTTAGGAATGAGAATGACTTACAGTTACAGCATACATGTGCATCATAGCTGGTGGGCAGAGCTATAACATATAAACAGAAACAGACATAGGCTTATAGGAGTACAGACACCTGATCAAAGTGCGCCTGCACAAACAATGAACATAGTGTAAAGAAGTATCTGTATTCATTCCTGAGCTAGGCCTATATTTACTTCACATATTCTTTTATTGATGAAATTCTAATATAGAGAAAAGTCGGAGTTGATGAAAATGGTAATTTTTATTGTCGTTACTGACTTGTAGTGCATACATGTTAATATAATTTCTTAAATTGCACGTAAATAAAAACTAAGCCTTAAATTGTTAGAAACAATTATTTGTGATAATATAATGGCAAACACATATGACTATGCATTTATGGAAGCCCAAATAACTGTAAAACACAAAAGACAAACTTAATGTGAACTATTGATTTTACTCAATAATAACATACTGATGCTGATTAATTATTTCTAACAATTGTACCACAGTTATATAATACATTGGTATTTAGGGAAATTGTGTGTTAAGGTAAGGGGTAGTGTGAACATTAAATACAACCTGCTCAATTTTTCTGTAAACCCAATACTATTCAAAAAAATTGAGTATGTTAATTAAAAAATAGTTAAATTTGAGAGTTAAACAGGAAAAGGATTCTTCATTCAAAACTATTAAAACAAAGAAGAGAGATTGAACTTAATCCCCTTGAAAGAAAAAGCTAGATGATTTATAAACCCTGGGGTGAGCTAACTATTAGGGTCCTTAGGGAAGACTTGGTCATTGCAATTAGGCCATCACTGCTTGCTAATTGTCCCTTATAAGCTTCTACCCTCCTTAGTTCAGTTAAGCCACTGAGTCGTGTCCGACTCTGTGACCCCATGGACTGCAGCATGCCAGGCCTCCCTGTCCGTCACCAACTCCTGGAGCTTGCTTGAACTCATGTCCATCAAGTTGGTGGTACCATCTGACCATCTCATCCTCTGTCATCCCTTTCTCCTCCTGTCTTCAATCTTTTCCAGCAACAGGGCTTTTTCTAATGGGTCACTTCTTTGCATCAGGTGGCCAAAGTATTGGAGCTTCAGCTTCAGGATCAGTCCTTCCAATGTACATTCAGGAGAGATTTCCTTTAGGCATGACTGGTTGGATCTCCTTGCAGTCCAAGGGACTCTCAAGAGTCTTCCCCAACACCACAGTTCAAAAGCATCAATTCTTCGGTGCTCAACTTTCTTTATGGTCCAACTCTCACATACATACATGACTTCTAGACAAATCATAAGGGACTGTGAAATCAGCACATTATCTCCTTCAATGATTAGATCCTGAATGAGTGGTTCCCAGGTCTTTGAGAAAGACATTCCTGGATTGTAAAACTGAGTAGAGGCTGGAGTAAGATTTGTGTCTCCAAAGGCAAGGGAAAGAGTTTGCAATTACAGGTTTTATAAAGTAAATTCTCTAAGAAAGGGGAGGTCAGGAACCTGTAACCAGGAAGAAAACTAAGATTTAGTCAAGGGGACTTTGAAATGCTCTTGGTCACAATATAAGAAACACTGAAAAACACAATACAGAAACACTGAAAAAATTTCCTGAAAAAATGTAGATCATTAATTTTAATCCACAGTCCAATAGAGCTTAGTCACTTTAGCCTGCCCCCATAACATAAACTTGAATGCAAAATTATATTATCCAACTTTACCTAAGTTAGCTGTTAGTAGAATTTGAAACAGCCATAATTATTTCTACTTAATTAGTCTAAATGGAAAGCTTTTCTGAGCATTGTCTTCCTTGAGCTTACAAAATATAATTGCATTTTCTCTTTCATATACTTTCAACTGTCAGCAGAGCAAAGACAAACACTTTATTTTTAAAGATTTGTGGCAAACAGTTCACGTTGCAATCTGCAGCACTACACAATTTCCCAATAATTCAGAAGCAGAAAATCGCTTAAGAAATATTATCCTTGGGCTATTTATGTCTTTGGCAAGGGAAGTTCATTTAATATAATTATTCATTCTTTACATCTTTACATGGAACATGTCAGTCATCAAACTACTCTCCCTAGGCAGTAAATTTTAAATTCCAGGAAGTGGATCTCTTGAAAGAAAATTTAAACAAGATTTTGAGCCAGCATTAGGCTATGAACCACTAGTCAAACTTAGAGTTCAGCCATCTCTCTAGTGATAGTGAAGTATACGAAAATAATGAGATTAATAGACTAATGTGATTGTAACACCACTCCATTCTCAAAGCTCCAGAATTTCTTCTTAACTTATAAACAATTTATGACAGGATGTTATATTTTCATTGTGGAGATTTCAAAATTGTTTGAAAACATGTTGTTAACTGAAAAAAATATTGAGGAATATATATTTAATTATACAATTAATTTGTCTAATTAGTGGGAAATTTCCATAGTAACATTCACAAACAGATGGAAAGTATGCATATTAATTTGCAAGAGGTGGAAAGCTGGCTCAAAATAATTTAAAAGGGTGGAAGATGTATAATCAGGCAAATATTAACAAAGGAAAGAGAGTGAAACTCTAATATTCACACATACACACACACTTTTAAATATAGGACATCTATTTTCCAATTCACCATGTTGAAGAGCATTTCCTCTGCACCTGTAATTGCTGACAAACTTCTGAAAGAAAGGTGGAATTTCTC